GAACCCCTGCGAACCCCCAGCAGCTCACCCCAGGCTGCATGAGGCCTTCCCAAACTCTGTCTTCGCTGGCAGAGGGTTGCAAGAGGCCGTCGCAACCAAAAACAGAGCTCGGGAGCCCGTTTTTGCTGGCACTCGGGCCACCACAGGCGCCCCCAACCCGAGTGATGTTGAGCTGGTCACGCCCACCCTGGTCCCTGCAGTGATTAAGCTAGTGACATGGTGGTTAAGTTCATCTGGCTTCCCCTTTGACTTTGATTGACAGAAGGTTGGAAAAGGTGGTCACACCACCCCAGGACACTGAAAACTGTCATAAATATGAGTCAGTTGCCAAATGGCTGAATTTTGATCACGTGACCATGGCGATGTTGAAAAACAGTCAAAAATCACCTTTTCTGGTGCTGTTCTAACTAAATGAATTGTTTTAAGTCAAGGACAACCTGTACACAAATAACATAACTGGATGGGAAGAATGGAATTTGCATCATTCGAATAATGATGTCATCTCACATGTTATCCAATTTTCTCCATGGTGTAAAGACATTTTAGAACAAGCAATATTTTTTTAAAAAAAAAAACGGTTTTCCTGCCACATTCTAAAAAGCAAAATGCAGCCCTGACTTTCTCACGTGTGTGCTCTTGCCAGCTTTACATAGCAACAATTTAAAAAATCTGTCTGCTGAGCTGTAGGGCAAACTCTTCCCTTAGGTGTTTGTTCTACATGATGCAAACAACAGGAGTGCAAGGTGTGAGCCGCTGTTTGTGAGGAGAATGAAGATTGCAATTTTCCCTAACAAAGGTTACAGGAATTGAGTTTGTCCAGTCCGGTGATGGCTATAGCAACTTTTCGTCGTTGTGTACCGAAAGTGTGCACTTGTGTGCCTGCACCCATAATGCAATCCAAACGTGACCCCCCCCACTACCTGTGCATGCATGAATGACCCCCCCCCCTGTATGCATCCCACCCCCGCACGGCTGATACCCAACCATCAGCTGGCTGGCGGGAGGCGTGCATGCATGCGCAGTGGATCTGATCCGGGGCAACGGCTTGCGTGCTGGCAGAGATGGCTCTGTGTGCCACTTCCGGCATGCGTGCCACAGGTTTGCCATGACGGGCTAGTCTAATGAAAAGAAGAACCAGGGCTGACATGATAGCAGTATTCCAATAACTAAGGGGCTTCCACAACAAAGAAGAGGGAGTCAAGCTATTCTCCAAAGCACCTGAAGGCAGGACAAGAAGCAATAAGGATGGAAACTAATCAAGGAGAGAAGCAACCTAGAACTAAGGAGACATTTCCTGACAGTTAAGAACAATTATTTAGCGGAATTACTTATCCTGAGAAGTTCTGGATGCTCCAACACTTAACAAGAGATTGGACAATCATTTGTCTGAAACGGTATAGGGCCTCCTGCTAGAGCAGGTGGTTGGATTAGATTACAGTGACCCCCAAACGTTTTGGCACCAGGGACCAGTTCCCTGGAGAGAGGTTTTTCTGCAGACTGGAGTGGGTATGGTTTCATGTGCTGCCTGCATTCTGAGGAATGGGCTTCACTTGTTTGCATGGCCCGATTTCTGGCATGCCACGGCCCAGGATCGGTCCACGGGCTGGCGGTTGGGAAACCCCTGGACTAGAAGATCTCCGAGGTCCCTTCCAACTCTATTATACTGTTAAAAGGCAGCAAGCAAAAATCCTGCAGAAATATGCCAGCCTCGGAGGACATCTCAAAGCAGAGCAGACAAGCCAGTCTCAGTGCCAAGGGCACTTGCAGAATGCAAAGGTTAAATGTGGGCTGTGGTCAAATTCTTGCCCTTTTCATTCTCGCCAGCTTTTCTCTGTCTTGTATTTTGGTGAGAGGTTCCAGGATAATCTAGCAGGAGCATTTGATTAATCTGAGCAGCTGTTGCCAACTATCCAGTTGGCGAACCCTGAAAAAGACATTCCTGGGACATTATTTTATCGAGTATAAAACTTTACGGAGTAAACCAGATTGACACAGAAGAAGCGAAACCAGGTCTGGGTTTCCCATGAAAAAGCAAGCATGGTTAATTCCCTCTTACCCTATGGGCCACCCACAATCCATTATGTCCACCAATCACTTCTGTTCTTTTTGTTATGGGAACCGGCCAACCACACTGGCACAGGGTGTCCTTGAGGTGAGAGCCATGTCTCACAGGATGCTTGGATTCCATGCCATTCCCTTTACTTTGTCAAGCTGTGAGCGAAGCTGTGATGACCTGGGGCATGGCACAAAGGCAACACAGTCAAATAAGCAATAAGAGTCCCTTTATTATTTCCAGCTTTGCCCCCAATGTCCAGGTGACCTTTGGGCTGGAGGAAAACTCTCCCAGGAACAGCCTTTAACTGTAGAAAATTCAGTCCAAAACAAGGTACACACAAACTGTAACTAAAAATCCAAACAAATCAAGCTGAAGTAATTAGCTTGACAGGGCAGCAATCAAGTTGTATTATCATTTTTGATACTTAAAGTTTTCTTTCAATATATAGTGCGTTGCAACTGTGCACGCAGATATGCCGTCTCTACATCTAAATGATTTACAATGTATTTCTCCTTAGCTGCCCACACTAATGCTGCTCGTAATGTAGTAGCCTTCAGACTAGGTGCAAACACCTCGTTTGCTATCTGATTGAACCCTTGTGCTACTAATCTGGCTTTATGGGTAACAGTCCCATCCACACCTGTCTTTAGCTTATAAATCCATTTACACTCTATGGCATGTTTACCAGATGATAACTTAACATTTTCGTATACCTCCAACTTTTTTTTAATGATTCTAGTTCCTTATCCATTGCTTCCTGCCGAGCAGCCTGATCCTTAGTAAGATACAGTTTTAGTTCATTATAATTACTTGGAACTGTATTCACTTGGCATACAACACTAGCCTGATATCTATCAGGTGGTCGTGTTACTCGGGTTGAACATCTAGGTATTACAGGGCTTACTGGTGGACTCACCTGTGCTACCTGCTCCTGTTCTCCTACCTCCTCCTGTGCCTGTTCCCCTACTTCCTCCTGTGCCTGTTCTCTTTAATGGCTATTTGTGGTTTACTTATTTCATCTTTAGGGACTATTTGGGTGTCAATAATAACATCATTGCTGGATTCCTGTTCCAGTTTATCCCACCCAATGGGTTCAAGAAATTTAGCTCTAGCGCTACAGTAAACATGAGCTGGGCCTGGATCCCAAAATCTAAACGATCTATGGTTGGCTTCGTAACCTACGAAAACTGATTTCCTAGCTCTATGTTGCCCTTTCAGTCTTACGTGTGAGAGAATATGCACCAATGCTGGAGCTCCAAATGTGTGTAGGTAACTTAAATTTGGTTTTCTGCCATGCCAACCAGGGAATGGCAATCCATCAGTTGTTGTGTTAACTACATTGTTTAACACATGATTGCTACACATTATGGCTTCACCCCACAGTGTTTCAGACAAGCCATGGCTTGTAATGTTTGCCCTCTTCGTTCTATAAATGAGTTATGTTGTGGTCTGTAAGGTGCAGAACGTTTATGCTCGACAGCCAATTTTAGCATAGTTTGGAATCTCTTGTTAATAAACTTAGTCCCGTTATCAGTAACCAAAGTAATTACTTTACTCCTCATTTTTCTCTCAGCAAATCTTAGCCAGTTAAAGAAATTTTGGAATGTTTCTGTTTTGTTTCTCATGAGATAGCAGAAACCTTACCGTGAGTAATGGTCCCTTACACTCAAAACATAGCAGGCACCTCCCAAACTAGGTTTCTTAGGACCAATTATGTCAGCAAACACAACCTCTAAAGGTTCTCTGGTCTTAAACCCATTAAGTCTGTTTGCAGGAATAACCTTACTTTTCTCCTGACAACACGCATTACAGTTTAAGTACTTGCTACAGGGTTTTAATTTTACTCCCTCTGATAAGTTGACTGTTTGTTTGAACGTTTTGAAATTAATGTGCCCCAAACGTCTATGCAGTAAATGTATACATTCATCATATGGCTGAACATTGTTATAAACCGAGTTAACCATCTTCAACTGGGTATCATGTATCACATATAAATCATTCTCTAAAGTAGCAGCAACACTTTTACCCTCTTTCTCTATTATACAGTTATCTCCCCTAAAGGTTACTGCATAACCAATATTAACTAAAGCCTTTACTGACAATAAATTAAATTTTAGTTTAGGTACCTATAACATAGTTAAATGCTCATTTACACAAGAACAATATGCAGTACCTTCACCGGACGCTTTCATCTTCTATCCATTTGCCAATGATACATGTTGCTTACTCGTAGACATCTTTACAAACTTCTCTCTGTCTTAATAATGCACTGTGATATTTTCCAACCCAACTGTTAGGTGACTTACATTCCTAACACGTGCCCTAGGATGAAGAGGGGGTGGGCCTGGGTCTTCCTCCGAACTCCCTCTGCCTTGCTCTACCTCTCCCCTGCTCTGCCCAGCTGGCCTTTGCCCTTCCCCAGTTTCTTCCAACGCCAACAGAGCCACGCTCCCACTCCCTGTCATCTGTTCGGCTTCCCACTCCAAGTCAGATTCCAACAGGGGCATGACAGAAGCGAAAAGTGAAAGTGCGAGTCAGTCTTGACACCTGTCATATAGGGCCATACCAGTGGTATGAGCTGTGTTTTTTCCCCAGATGAAAGTACTTCAAAACCCTGTTCCTCCAGAGCTCCAACACCACATCGCCATTAAGAAGTTTAACTGCATTAATAAAAGTCTGTAGCGATTCTCAGTCACCCAGGTCATGGTTGTTCCAAGGGTTGCTTTTTCAAGAGGCAGCTGGATTTTCTTGGGGTTTTTTTTTTTTTTGAAGAGGTTTTGCTTCTCATCCAAGAAGCTTCTTCAGCTCTGACTGAATCTTTCCATTCCCCCACCATCCAGTCAGAACTGAAGAAGCTTCTTGGATGGGAAGCGAAACCTCTTCAAAGAAAAAACAAGGAAGCCCAGCTGCCTCTTAACTGCATTCATTCATTCATTCATATTACCTTCATTCCCGATGCAGCTGCCGGCCCACTGGGATCCACTGCTTGCACGTGGCAGGGCTTGTTCCCTCGGACCACAAATCCCCATCCAACAGCATCACCTATGATCTTAAAGGAAAAGAAGAAGATGGCCACACTGAATCTTGTTAATCATCTCTCTCTCTCTTCTTTCTTTAAGCAAAGAAATGGCATTTGATGTTCGGTACAGTGATGTTTATCCACTGTATACGGTTGATACAGTGGATAAAATCTACAGCCTCACTTAACTCCTGTCGAAAAATGGTTAAACCTCTTGGTAAAGCAGGTTATTCTGGAACAGATTTTTAGATACAACTACATTCCTCTGTATGTACCCATGAAATCAGGAGATTGGGAGTTCTAGTCCTGCCTTAGGCATGAAAGCCGACTGGGTGACTTTGGGCCAATCACCAGGAGACAATGAATTCTAGTCCTGCCGTAGGCATGAAAGCCGACTGGGTGACTTTGGGCCAATCATCAGGAGACAATGAGTTCTAGTCCTGCCGTAGGCATGAAAGCCGACTG